TGACATGGTAACTTAATTAGGAAATTTATATTTATGCTCTACCGTATGCCTACCCCTATTCAAGGCATTGTAAAAAAGAAACAAAATGGAAGTCTTGATCTCTGTATTCAAAGATTTTGCATTCGAACAATAAATACTTCAGAAGACAAAAGATGAAATATAAAATGTGCTATAAAATAATTTTTAAACTATCTAAATAGATAGCATTACTATTTTTAACATCTGTTAGTTTTGTTTGAGATGAACTTATGGAGAAATTGGTGCTTAATATGGACCTTGAAGAAATTGTAAGATTTGGATGAAGGTCTACAAAATGTGACAAAAATTCAGCTACCAATGCTGACTAGAGATGAAGAATTAGTTATTTAGAACATTTAATAACTAAAAATAATAAAATATTATAGCAGGCATATTGTAAGCAAAATTATGTTTGTAAGAGCTCTCTCATGTAAACAAGCAATGGAAAATTAATTTGATTTTGACTGTGTTTAATTCCAACTAAGGTAAGTTCATGTAATTCACAATGACAAAATGGCTACCACTAAAATAAACTGGGAAGAATTTATTTAGCTTCTTCTGTTTTGCTTAGTCATAACATTTTTTCATTCATAAGATAATATGAACAAAAATTACTTTTATGACATCCAATCTGCCTATATGAAAAGTATTCTTTGCCACACTTGAATCCTTTTGAGTTCTTGTTATATTAGGAGCTTTTGCCAATTTCCTTGTTAAGACTAGAAATACCAGGGGAGGAAAGATTTCAGTAGACTTATATGCTGATGTTCTTACACAATTGCATATTACAGCCGGGGCTACAGTGAAATAGGACCTGATGCAACTTCTTTGGACATCCTCACGTTGACTGACACCACAGGCAGAATTAGCTAACTTTACAAAGATGAATGAAAATTAAAAACCAAGGGAGAACTTGTCAGAAAGGACATCACCATTTCTAATACTGGATGAATTATTAACAACAGCAAAGGGGTATAAGAGGAAAACTTCACTGATAATAAATGAAATCAATCCTAAAAAGAGCTTTGTGTTAAACGCTGAGCACTAGTAAGTGAATGTGTGTTTACTCTCTGAGAAGTTGTACGTGCTAAAAATATAAAAAGGCAGTTTCTGCTGAAATGAGAAGAAAAGGCGATCGGAGGGTGACTCCCCATTACTGCAACCCTGGGGAGGCTGCAAAAGCAAGCAGAGTTAATGGGTTCTGACAACTAACCCAAGAACTATGAGAAACCACTGCGGGAAGAAGGCTGAGTCATGGTGGAGGAGGGAGATTTGGCTCGCTGGGGCTGCCCAAAGTACCACAAACAAGGCGACTTAAACAGCGGTTTATTTTCTGGCTGTTCTGGAGACCAGAAGTCCAAGATCAAGCTGTCTTCAGGGTTGGTACTTTCGGAGGTTCATAAGTTAGAATCTGCCAAGATTCTCTCCTGGCTTCTGGCAGCTTGTCGGCAATCCTTGACTGGTAAACTCATCACCCTACCTCCATACTCACGTGGAATTCTCATGTGTGTGTCTGTGGCCAGGTTTCCCTTCCATAGGGGCACTGGTCATACAGGATTAGGGCCCATCTGACTCCAGGGTAGCCTCATCTTAACTAATTATGTCAGTTTTCAAATAAGCTCAGATTTTGAGGTACTGAGGTTAGGACTTCACTATCTGAATGTTGGGGGTCATAATTTACCCCATAACAGAAGACTGGATCCAAAGGAGGTCAGATCCCATAACTGGGAGAATAGACTCAGGGAGAGACCCCTCCCCCCCCACCCCCCACTGTGTCCTTTTCCATTTTCCACATCACCCTGAGCCCCTCTTGGCCCACAGCAGACACGGGTAGGGAACATGTACCACAGCCCAGTAGCCAACAGAGGTGGCAGGATTATATTCCTTTATGATTGTTGCTGTCACAAATTGCCACAAATTTCATGGCTTAAAACAGCATAAATTTATGATTTTATATTTGGAAGTTAATAGTCTTGATGCCATTATTTGGTATTTGATGTTTACAAATTTTTTTTCTGATTCTCTGAGCTGAATATGAAATTTGAAAAGGATTTTAAAGCTTTCCTTTAGAACTTTACAATTCCAAAATTAGAACTAATAAATTTTACATATATACACATATAATAAGATTTATATGTTAAACTAATTTAAGAAAAAAAAATTTTATTTTAAAGATTTTATTTATTTGACAGTGAGAGACACAGCGAGAGAGGGAACATGAGCAGGGGGAGTGGGAGAGGGAGAAGCAGGCTTCCCATGGAGCAGGGAGCCCGATGTGGGGCTCAATCCCAGGACCCTGGGATCATGATCTGAGCCGAAGGCAGACGCTTAACGACTGAGCCACCCAGGCGCCCCTAATTTAAGAAATTTTTATTTAAGTTTTATCATGTATACTGGCTATAAAATCTTATTATTTCATCAAATAACATTTACAAAACAAGTTAAATTGTTACTTTTCAGTACTTTTCACAGGGCAAACCTGTTGATAAGAAAGAGAAGACGTTTTGAAAGCTAATTTTCATATCACAAATGTCGCATGAGTATTTATGTGCAAAGCACTTATGAGAGGGAGAGAAGCCAGCAAAAGCCAGAGGGTAAAGGAGAGAGAGTGTGCACGTGGACGCTCTCCTGCTTCTGTGCTTCCGACAAGAAACATGGCATGGCCAGTCTTTCCTGTGTGGTAGCAAGGAGCATGCTTGGCTTAACTCAGTGTCTAGTTCAGGGTCTTGCAGCAGAACAATCTCGTGAAACCCACTCTTTCCAGGGTGAATTCTTCATGTGCATGGATCCCGGACAATTAAGTAAATATGTAACAAAACAAGCATAAATCTCTCTGAGACATAACTTTACAGAAAGCATATTATATTTATGGACTGAAAGAAATATGGAGCCTTCATAATCTTGTTGATTTTGCTCATTTTTTTCAAGCTCGAAAATCTTTTCAGGACAAATGAAATTTTCTATGACTAGCCTGAAGCATTCAAAGTAATTTATATTTAGGTTTATTCTGCATGCCTTCACCTGGCACAGTCATAGGATAAACACTTGAGGCACTACTCTCTTCTCTGAGTCTTTAGCGTAGAGTATTTTACAGTAAAGTACATGGTAGGACAGAGGTCTGGTAAAGATGGAGTAATTTACACCTCAGTCACATCGTTTTACTAGCTGTGTTTTCACTGATGGATGAAGACCCAACAATATTAAGGTAGGAGATTTAAAGGCTATAATGATAGTCTTGCTTAAGAGAATTACCTGTATTTTGGACTTATTTTAATCAATATATGAATTATTCTGTACTTTCATATTTTTCATAAGGAATATCAGCATATACATCTGAAGTGAAATATCTAGGATTATAGAAAACTATATTCAGATAAAGTTATTTCTAAAGCCATCATTATATTGGAACCAGAGCTAAAAAGAAAGGAGATACTTTTTTTCTTTTGGTAATTCTTTATTGTTTTGGACTTTGTCCTCTATTAGTTTCAGTGATATAGCTAAGTGTATCATATATCATTGAGTTGGTTCATAAATGAGTTTGTTGTTCTTAGCTTCTGATCTTATATTGGCCAAGAATGTCCAAATTTGCTAAGATAGAACAAGAGTGTGCTTTAAAGTTTGCATCGTCTTAGCAAAGAGAACCAGTGTCAGAGCCAGAATATGCTGTTAGTGATAACCCGGAAATTAGATTTTCTGTAAGGCTCCAATGAGCTCATCAAATATTTAGAGAGCCCTACGCTAATAATCCTATCAAGGGATATGCTGCATTCAGCATTATGGGTTGTGGTAATCAAGCAGATAAAACCAAAGAATAGCTCTTTCATTTACTTCTGGTATTCCTGTTTGTCCTCTCATTGAGGAAATGTTATTTATCAAATCACTATTTCATCTTTATCATTATAGCCAGTGAAAATCAAGTGCTGATAGCTCTCCACGGTTTGGACTCAGGTCCTCCAGGAACTTGCTCCACTCAGAGCGATGCTGCTTCCTCTGGCCACAGCAATGCCACGCAACTTGGGTGGGCTGTTAGATCCAGAACGCCATTTCCCTGTCCTGAGGGAAGTACTGTTATGACAACAAGTAAACTCCTTCATCTTTTTCTTCTCAGTAACAAGACCCCCCATTCTGACCTTCACCCCAGGAAGGATATGAAGGTGGTTCAGTTTCTACCACCCCAAAATACAACGTTCTGGCACAAGGATTATTTGGAGATGAAGGCAACTCTTTTCCTGGAAGCAGACCCTAAATTCCCATTGTGATGCCCCCAGCCCACACTACCAGGAAGGAGATACCAACCCTCCACTGGAGGCAGCACTGCCCTGAGAAGATTCTACACCCTCAAACCTTTCTAGAGAGTCCTTATCTCGCACTGGTTTCCCCCCTACCTTTACTTTCCCCAGTTTGCACCTCTAAAAACCTAAACCCTTCTTCCTTTGTCTTGTCACTTCCGTACTGATTGATGCAGTGTTCTAACCACGCCTTCGAGTTACTCATCACTGGGTTTCTCCCTGTTGTATGTGGGGGTGGGGGTGGGAGAGATTTAATAAACTCTCTTTTTCTCTTGTTAATCCTTTTGTTGATCTATTTTTCAAGGCCCAGGCACAGAACCCAGGGGAATAGAGGAGTTTTTTTCCCTTCCCCTAGAAGGCATAGGGACATTGTGGAATATAATTAAAGTATTTTCTTGGGTGGATGAGTAGGAGACCACAGAAATAAGATGAATTTTGAAGGAAGGTGGTGCTTCATCGTATCTATAAATAAGGCTTGGGAAGCTAGCACGATGCTGAGCTATAAGGCCGCAGGACGATTCTATATTAATGGTGCAAAACGTCCCTGGAAGAATGCTTAAGAACGTCCTGTGACTGGAATTTGAAACTGTAGGAATCCAGTGTTATTTCGTTCCCCAGATAGAGTCATCTGCCCATCTTTTTAAAAGGAATAACTGTGCCAACTCATCTCCATGTCAGGCCACTTTCAGACCTGGGGATGTAGCTCAGTGGTAGAGCATATGCTTTGCATGTATAAGACCCCAGGTTCGATCCCTGGCATCTCCATTACTTTTTCCCGCCAACTGTACTAACCTGTTTTTTAGGCTCATTTGTCAAGTATCATAGCATCCTACAGTGGAAGGTACGTCATCAGCCCTGCACATCAGTCTAAATTACAAGTGACATCTTACTCTACTAAATGAACTATACGAAAAGCTCATGCTGTGATTATATTTTCTTTCAGTATTAATAGCATCTTTTTATTAATCCAAAATAAAAACCTAGCCTTTCCAACAAATCTTTACTTCTCTACTTGATTCATTTACATTACTGCTAACATCCTATTTCTTTTAATAAAACCATACAACTGGTCAGGTGGAAACTTACCCGCCCTGCCATGGGCATGGCCCACTTGAAGAATGAAAACACAACACATATGTTTATAACACTCCTTATTTTCAAAGTATTTTCACATGTGATACCGCTTTAGTATTCACAGCAAAGTTATAGGATATAATGGTTCCAGGACTGCCTCACAGACTTCACAAAGTAAAGAGACATCTTTGTTGTGTCCCCCTTCTTCTGCATTATGAGTCTATTTGAGTATTTGGTTGTGTACTTTCCCCCTGACATCTAAGCTGTATCTCCCGCCCTCACCGGAACAGAGTTAAGGTAACTCTCATGCTGCCGATCAGCCTCCCTTCCCAGATGACACATGATGATGTTTGATGTGAGTCAAGGTACCGTTCTCCTTCTGTGCTGAGTATCTCCCCAGCAGTGGTGCTACTTGCCTTTACTTGTTTGCATTATGAGTAAAACCTAGAGATCCCATGTTCAACACTTAATTTGCTAGGATAAATCTAAGACCCTCAGATCAAAGACATTTTTAATTATGGAATACAAGGTTGTACATGGATTCATATTTCAGAGGAATATTAAAAAGCTCCCTTAACTTACTCACCATCTTTGAGAAGCTATTAAACTTGAGAAGAGAGCAAAACAGTTTCTCTAATTACAAACATATATTACACATTTTATTGCTTCATTTGAAATAGTATCTCTTCTCATGGGCTCTCAAGGTCAATGTCCCCTTTCTTGGCACACGAAGATGCTTGGAAAGAGGAAGAGGAAGGTGACAGGCACCAGCTCGGCCCCTGTCACCACCTGCCCAAAGCCGTGTGACAATCCCCATATTTTCTTGACAGCCTAAAGGACACCTTCTTTTTCTTAAAGCGTGACTCAACTGCCAAGTTCTTGAACTGAAGTCAAATACCATTTCATTTTTTATATTCTGGAAAACGAGAGGACTGTCAGAGAAGCAAAATCAGAAACTGTAAAACGAATAAGTTATTAAATGTTTTCTATGCCAGAAAGGACCAAAAAGAGAAAAAAGCAAGTCATATGACAGCTAGTGGTACCTTTAGGGATGATGATGGCAACAACAGGAGCTCCTTTGTTCTTTACCACAACCTTAGGAGGTAGGTGCTATCTTCAGCCCCATTTGAAAATTGAGGAAACTGATGAACTAGGGTTCTGCATAAAGGCTTCAGGTCATGGGTCCAGCCAAGCATTGTGGCCACTACACAGACCTGAGAATCGGTCTGGCCCCGACACCACAGAGCCATGTAATGTCGAGAAATAGTCTGCCTGTATGGGTCCCATAGATCGCACACAGGTGGTAGCAGACTGGAGCCGAAACAGCCTGGGCTCTGGTGCTGGTTTGACTTCACACTCAGGATTCTGGCGAGACTAGATGTCTGGGTGGGCTTTGCAGCCCCAGTGACCTCCAGTAGTTTTAGAAAACAGAGATAATAATATTTAGCTCAGAGGCATTTGGGGGAATTTGAAAAGTTGACATATTTTATGCACTTTAGATCCTGATACTTACTTAGTTCCTGATACACTAACCCTCAATAAATGGTTCCTATTTTTTCCTCTACCAAATAATAGAAAGATGACAGTCAAGGAGTCTTATCATTCCAAAACATGGATTTCAAGACAAGCCCATTATTTGGAGAATTAAGGAATATAACTAATGAAAAAAATATGTAAGTACATGGAAATAAAAATAATTTTAAAGTTATTGTGCAATATTTTAATGAAAGTTAATGGTAGAATTATTCAAATTAGTTTCAGAGGATGGTAAACATGCTTTGAGCTTGAAGAAGGGAGAGAACTCATAAACTGGTAGGGTTTGGGAATGTTCAAGGACTCGGGAAACAGGGCAGGTACCGAAGGCTGCACAGTCTTTTAAAGAGGCAAAAAAGTGGGGTGCCTGGGCCGCTCAGTCGGTTAAGTGTCTGACTCTTGATTTCAACTCTGTTCATGCTCTCAGGGTCATGGGATCTCACCTCATGTTGGGCTCCCAACTCAGCACAGAGTCTGCTTGTGATTCTCTCTCCCTCTGCCTCCCCCGTACCCCCCTCCATTTGTGCATGCTCTTTCTCTCTCTAAATAAATAAGTAAATAAAATCTTTACAAAAAAAAGGCAAAAACGTGCTCACCATCCACCATGTGGCGACATGCACAGAGGCGGCCAGACAGCACAAGACTTAGGAGATGAATGTATCCGCGGTTGATAGGAACCGAACGGGACCAATAATGCAGAGTCAGGGAGTGGGAGATAAAGCAGGAATGGAGACTTGCAATCAAAGTTGGGGTGGCTGTAGAAGTCTGGGGAATTTGCTCTTGATGCTGGTGATAAAGGGAATTGCCTGCTGAAGGTTAGATCTCATTGCTTCTTGCATTTTTTCATTTCCTCTTCATTTCTTGATTCCTGTAATACTCAGTTCAGAATCACTCTCTTCCTCAAGGTTCCTTAGGCCTGCCAGCCACTGTCAGGAGGTCCTCTACTAACTGCTCAATGTCCCATGCTTCCTTTTATCACGAAACTCATCATGCTTGACTGTAACTTTTGGACTATTTGCCTCCTCTCGTGACTGAGAGCTCCTCAAGAATGGAGATCATCTCTTACTCATATTTGTGTTTTTTATAATAAACTTTACATTACAGCAGTTGTAGATATACAGAAAAGTTGAGAAGATAGTACAGAGTCTTCATGTATCTCTGCACAGAGTATTCCTTATTGACATCATTTATCAGTATGGTACCTTTGTTTTTTCTGTTTTTTTTTTTTTTTTAAGATTTTATTTATTTATTTGACAGAGAGAGACACAGCGAGAGAAGGAACACAAGCAGGGGGAGTGGGAGAGGGAGGCTCGCGGAGCAGGGAGCCCGATGCGGGGCTCGATCCCAGGACCCTGGGATCATGACCTGAGCTGAAGGCAGACGCTTAACGACTGAGCCGCCCAGGCGCCCCAGTATGGTACCTTTGTTAAAATGAATGAAGCACTATCAATACATAATTAACTAAGGTCCATAATTTATTCAGGTTTTCTTAGATTTTATCTAATGTCTTATTTCTGTTCCACAATCCTATTCAGAATGCAGCATTATGTTTAGTTGTGCGTCTTCTTAGTTCTTTCTCCAGTGTGACTGTTTTTCAGACTTTCCTTGTTTTTGATGACCTTGACAGTTTTGGGTCAGATACATAGCAGTACGGTCAGGTAAATTGGAGGGTGCCCCTTATTGGAATTATTCTGATGTTTATCTCATAAGTAGATTGCTATTATGGGTTTTAGGAAAGAAAAGCATGCAGGTAAAATGCTATTTTCATGACATCGTATCAAGGCTATATGTCAAATACCTTATCATTGTTAATATTGACTTGATCACCTGGCTGAGATTTTTCAGGTTTATCTACTGTAGAGTCCCCTGCCCTTTCTATACTGTACTGTATTCTTTGGGAAGAAATCACTACGTGTAGGCCACACTTAATGAGTAGAAAGTTAGACTCCCCCTTCTGTAGGGTGGAGAACCTATACATTATTCTGAATTATTTGGTATAGGAATTCTCTACCATTTATTAATTTATGCAATCATTTAGTTATCAATAAATACTCATGGCTATTTATTTTATACTTTGGGTTATAATCCAATGCAATTTTTTGGTCAAATGGCTCCTGTTTTAGCTATTGGGAGCTCTCTCAGTTGGCCCCTGCATCCCTCTGATACCCCCATGAGTGTGCACTTGTGTGTGCTCAGCATTTTCCTACTTTCTGACACCACAAGGTATTGTGGGCTCATCTTGCATATTTTCTGTCTCAGTCCTGGAATCAGCCATTTCTCCAAAGAGCTCTGGGTTTTTGTTTGTTTTGTTGGTTGGGTTTTTTTGCTTTTGCTTTATTTTTGTTTTTGAGAATGGTATTAGAAGCCAAGATTCAGGAGCTGGGTGTGTTGATTACTCCTGGGGTTTCAGTTTTTTGAGACCATCTCACCTGCCTAAGCAAGAAAATATATGTGTATGTATACTAACACATGAATATCTACAAATATTTCTAGGTGTAACCATCTGTATCATATTGAGTGAAACTTGAGTTCCTACTGATGGCTCCACCTAGATTGCGTTACCATGTGGATGATTCTAGCCTCTTCACCTTGCTTATCTGTAAAGTCCTACCCTAACACTGAGAAATCTATCTACTTACATGTTCAACAGCAGTATACAGGTACCAGAATCGTGAGAGCAGGATCAGAATTGTTAACCTGTATACCACACTGAAAAACAACTGTATAAACTAGAAGGCAGTATTTACATGCAGTTCATTTTGCTTTTGGTTGTACAGATTTCACTCATTTCCAAAGTTACTTAGATGAGCACCTTCCCATCTAAGGTTGGGGTTGTTTCAAACATTTAAACAGATACGATCTCTTGTCACAGCATCAAGTTCCTTCCTGGGATGACCTAACTTCCTAATGATTTTCTAATTTGCATACTTTATGTCATGAAGTTCTATAGGTTTGGACAGATGAATTACATCATGTATCCACCTTCACAGTATTGTACAGACTAGTATAAATTCCCTAAATCTGGGACACCTGGGTGGCTCAGTCAGTTAAGTGTCTGTCTTCGGCTCAGGTCCTGATCTCAGGGTTCTGGGGTCGAGTCCCTCATCGGGCTTCTTGCTCAGCTGGGAGCCTGCTTCTCGCTCTGTCTGCTGCTCCCA